TTGCTCAGACTAGTTTCGAACTCCTGACCTGGAGCAATCCGCCTGCCTCGGCCTCCCAGAGTGCTAGGATTACAGGCGTGAGCCACCTCGCCTGGCCTATATGAGTTACTTAAATCTGCTGTGAATGCTGCCAATCTCAAAACATCATTTTTCTATTTTTTGCATGTTTCTGTATGCTCTCTCTGTATTTCTTCTATCTGGAAAAACGTTTACATGTAAATCTGTGTGTTTAAATGTTCTTATTTTTAAATTTACACAAAATAAAAAAATCAAAATAAATAATAAGTTTATGCAAAAGAGATTATATCATCTGCATTTGGCTCTTTTTTCCCAGCTTATTACATCTTGGAGAGGTTTCTCTTTTCAGTATATAAAGTTGAATCTTGTTCTTATTAATAGCTATGTAGTGTTCCATCATATGAATGCATTTTTAATAAACTCTTTCCTTGTTATGTATACCATAGTTGTTCCTTCCTCTTCTTTTTTTCCCTGATACAAGTCATAATGCACTGAACACCCTTGTACAATTTTCTTAGCAAATATTTTTGACTGCAATCATGTAGTACATAACGACGTTTCGGTCAGTATTGTACCACATATATAATGGTGGTCCCATAAAATGATGATACCGTATTTTTCTATGTTTACATATATTTAGATAACACAAATACTTACCGTTGTGTTGCAGTTGCCTAGAGTATTCAGTACAGTGTCATGTTGTACAGGTTTGTGGCCTAGGTGTGTGGTAGGCTGCACCATCTAGATTTGTGTAAGTATATTCTTTTTTTTTTTTTTTTTTTTTATTTTTATTTTTATTTTTTTTGAGACAGAGTCTCGCTTTGTTGCCCAGGCTAGAGTGAGTGCCGTGGTGTCAGGCTAGCTCACAGCAACCTCAAACTCCTGGGCTTGAGCGATCCTTCTGCCTCAGCCTTCCCGAGTAGCTGGGACTACAGGCATGCGCCACCATGCCCGGCTAATTTTTTTTTTTTATATACATATCAGTTGGCCAATTAATTTCTTTCTATTTATAGTAGAGACGGGGTCTCGCTCTTGCTCAGGCTGGTTTTGAACTCCTGACCTTGAGCAATCCGCCCGCCTCGGCCTCCCAGAGAGCTAGGATTACAGGCGTGAGCCACCACGCCCGGCCTGTGTAAGTATATTCTTATGTTCACATAACAAATCACCTGATGCATTTCTCAGAATGTATCTCTGTTGTTAAGCAACACACAGCTGTATATCCATGGGGTATATTTGTAATGGAGAGATTGCTATGGCAAAGAAAAGATATGTGTTTTAATTTTGATAGATAGCACCAGTTGCTGTCTATAAATTTGTGCCACTTTTTACTTACTTTCTTTACATACTGTGCAACAGTATGTAAGCATGTTCATTTCTCCTTTACCCTCAACAGTGCTTGGTGTCATCAGACATCAACTTTTACCAATCTAACACATGAAAAATAGTTTCTGAGCAAAGAGCGAGACCCGTCTCTTACTATAAAAGGAAAATTAATTGCCAAACTGATATGTATTAAAAATACGCGGGCATGTGGCGCATGCCTGTAGTCCAGCTACTCGGGAAGGCTGAGGCAGAAGGATCGCTCCGACGCCCAGGAGTGTGAGGTTGCTGTGAGCATAGGACTGATGACCAGCGGCACTCACTCTAGCCTGGACAACAAAGCGAGACTCTGTTCAAAAAAGAAAATAAGAAAAACTAAATAGAAAAAAAAATAACAAAATAAAAAATAAAGAAAGCACTACTGTACAGAAGATATAAAAACAAAGAACCCTACACTTCAAAATAACCAAAACGGGGGAATAAATAGGATCATTATACACTTAACAATTAGGTGTCATATCAACTAAGAGTTACTGCTAAAATATAGAACTCATCTGAATCAGATGGAAAAAAACAAAGGAAAACAGAGAAAGGATATAAACAGCTATAAGGAATGACAATCGGTCCAATAAGAAACGATATTTTTCATGTGTTAGATTGGTAAAAGTTGATGTCTGGACCCCAAGCAATGTTTGAGGGGTAAAAGGACGAAAGAACAATGCTTACATATGTTTGCACGTATGTAAAGTTCAGTAATAAAAGTGCACAAATTATAGACACAACTGGGCTATCCTATCAACAATAAAACAATATCTTTCTTTGCCATAGCAAAAAACTCTCGCATTACAAATATACCCCATGGATATGAACTGTGTGTTGCTTAACAACAGAGATACATTCTGAGAAATGCAATCAGCGTGACTTTGTTATGTAACATAAGAATAGTACCTTAAGCAAATCTAGATGGTGCCAGCTACCACACACCTAGGCGACAAACCTTAAACATGCGCACTGTACTGAAACTCTAGCAACTGCACACAACGGTAAGTATTGTGTTATCTTAAATATTATTTAACATAAGAAAAATACGGTATATCATTTTATGGGACCGCCACTCATTATATATGTTGTGGTACAAGTACTGACGGAAACGTCGTTATGTACTACATGGTTGCAGTCAAAAATATTTGCTAAGAAATTGTACAAGGGTGTTCGTGCATATGACTGTATCAGGGAAAAAAAGAAGAGGAAGGAACAACTATGGTATACATAACAAGGACAGAGTTTATTAAAAATGCATCATATGATGGAACACTACATAGCTCATTACGTAACGAAACAAGATTCACTTTATATACCTGAAAAGAGAACGCTTCCAAGATGTAATAACTGGGAAAAGAGCAAATGGCAGATGCTCATAATCTCTTTGTTGCCATAACTTATTCATTTATTTTGATTTTTTTTTTTATTTTGTGTAAATTTAAAATAAAATTCTAAACCCACGATTTTACATGTAAACAGTTTTTCAGATAGAAGAAATACAGACGAGGCATACAGAACATCAAAAAAAGTACAAAATGATGTTTTGAGATGGCAGGCATTTCACAGCAGATTTAAGTAACTCATATAGGCCGAGGCGAGGTGGCTCACGCCTGTAAATCCTTAGCACTCTGGGAGGCCGAGGTCAGGCGGGGGATTGCTCCAGGTCAGGAGTTCAAACCAGTCTGAGCAGGAGAGCAAGAACCCGTCTGCTACTAAATAGTAAACAATTAATGGCCCAATATATACATACCAAGAAAAAATTAGCCCGGGCATCGGTGGGCACTGCCTGTAGTGCCAGCTACTATGGAGGTGGCAGGAGGATCGCTTGAGCCCAGGGGTCTGAGGTTGCGTGAGCTAGTGCTGACGCCCACGGCATCTCACCTCTAGCCTGGGCAACAAAGTGAGACTCGTGTCTCAGAAAAAAAAAAGTAACTCATAAAGGACCGATAAGGTGTAGTGTTATTTTAAAGAAAAAATTATATCAAAATAATCATCATATTCTGCTTCATAGTCTATATATACATACATTCATATCAACTTTTTTTTTTTGAGACAGTCTCGTTTGTTGCCCAGGCTAGATGTGAGTCGTGGCATCAGCTAGCTCACAGCAACCTCAAACTCCGGGCTCAATGGGCATCCTACTGCCTCAGCCTCCAAGTAGCTGGGATCACAGGCAGCGCACCATGCGCGGCTAGTTTTCTCTATATATATATTAGTTGGCCATTAATTCTTTCTATTTATAGGTCAGAGACGGTCTCGCTCCGTTGCTCAGGCTGTTTGAAACTCCTGACGCTCCGAGCAATCCGCTGCCAGCCTCCCAGAGTGCTGAAGGATTACAGGCGTGAGGCCACTGGCGGCTGGCCATATCAACTTCAACAGGGGGGGGGGGGGGGGGGGGGGAACTGTAAGCCCGGGCGCGGTGGCTCACGCCTGTAATCCTACCTTCTGGGAGGAGAGGCGGGCGAATTGCTGAGTCAGGATTCGAAACCAGCCTGAGCAAGAGCGAGACCCGCGTCTCTACTTAAATAGAAGAACTAACTGGCCAACCTAATATAAGTACCGAAAAAATGTAGCCGGGCATGTGCTCATGCCTGTAGTCCAGCTACTTGGGAAGGCCTGAGACAGAAGGATCGTCTTGAGCCCAGGAGTTGAGGTTGCCTGTGAGCTAGGGCTGAACGCACGGCACTGACACTCTAGCCTAGGCAAAAAAGTAAGACTCTGTCTCAAAAAAAAAAAAAAAAAAAACAAAAACTGATACTTAACCTTACTGAGTGGCAGCCCAGGTTGCTCTACTCTACCGCCCCACATTTTTAAATTTTTATAAAAATAGAATCAGCTTTATGATTTTGTCCTGTCATCCTTTGCACAGGGGCCATGCAATCTTCTCTGGTATCGTC